GCACGCGCGCACTTCTCCCCGGTGATTACACGTCGGTTTGTCGGTTCACCCATGTTTCTCCCGCCGCCCCCTACGGTCGCGCCGCTGCTGCTCCCTCTGCTGCTTTGCCCCTGTTGCTGTTGTCTGCCTGGCTGCTGGTTTTGTGGTTGCGCTGTCACACTCCAGGAACTGTAGATAGCGCAGTTGCCCGCGCTACCACGCACCGCTTGTTGCTAACTAGATTGCGTCAAGCTATTGCGCTCGCGTTGCTCGGCTAAGCGTTGTCGTCTAGGCGTTCGCTGCTTGATAAAGTCACGCGCGCCCCTGCTGCTGTTGTTGTTTCATGCTTGCTGCCTGTTGGTTGGCGCTGCTCAGGTGCCCTACTGCCTGCCGCTGCATTCTTGCTGGGGCTGCTGCTGCGTTGTATCTGCAGCCAGCCTGCTGCCTACTGTGCTGTCGCCTGTACTCGCTGCTGTTGCTGTTGCTGTTTGTGAACTGCCACCGCCGCACGCCCTGGCTGCTGTTGTTGGTCGCCTGCTGTTGTTGCTGTTGCTATTGCTCTTACGTTCGCCGCACTGTTGTCGAAAACACTACTGCGAGTCTCCGTCTACCAACAACCTGAATCCTCAGTTATGGTTTACGTTTATGTTTGTGTTTATGTTATATGCATTTACTATTTATGTTGTTTTGTGTTTACTGTTAATGTTTATGAATTATTTATCAAGTGTTTTATCCTGGCTGTTATATGCTGTTGCTGCGCTCCACAGACCACTTGTGCGGGTATGCGTGTTCCGCCTGCTGCTATGCTGCCAGCCGTATCATTACTATGCTACTGCGTTGTTAACGTCCGCTGTCAGCCATTTCAAGCCATACTGGAAATTTTACGGCCAATTACTCGTCAGCGCTGAATCGTCAGGTAACGCAGTCCAGGACCAGTGCTATTTGGCCGGTACGGCCGGAAGATCGCGTCTGAGGTTGCAGAGAGATCGGCTGCGGTTGCCCGTCGTAGACGGCTACAGTAAACGTCTTAATCCGCGCCTCGCTTGCGTTCTCTCTCTCTCTCTCTCTCTCTCTCTCTCTCTTTCTCTCTCCTCTCTTTCTCTTTGTTTTTCTCTCTCTCTCTTCCTCTCCCTCGCCTCTCTTTCTCTCTGCTCTGGCGCACTCGTACCAGCGAAGACGGAATTACGCGGTGCCGGAGTGGTTAGGAGCTAGCAACTTATTATACGCGCACAAAGGCACGAGAGAGTAGTTGTCGGCGGACTTTTCCGCGTCTTAGACACAGACACTGTGTGTGATTATTGTGTGTGGCATGCGTGTTGTTGCGTAATGTGCGGTGCGTGTGCGTGTGCCGTGTGCGTGTGCGTGTGCTGCTGGTGCGTAGTGCGTGGTGCGTGTGCGTGTGCGTGTGCTGTGCGTGTGCTGTGTGCGCTGTGCGCCTGCGCGCCCGCGCAGTTGCGTGTGTGGGTGTGTTGTGTGTGTTGGTTTGTGTGTGTGTGTGTTGTGTGTGTGTGTGTGTGTGTGTGACACTTGTGTGTGTGTGCACGTGTGTGCTGTGTGTGTGGTGTGTGTGTGGTGTGTGTGTGTGTGTGTGTGTGTGTGTGTGTGTGTCGTGGTGTGTGTGTGATGTGTGTGTTGTGTGTGTGTGTGCTGTGTGATGGCTTGGCGCTACATACATGGGATGCGGGGTAACATTCCAGGTGAGCTGCAGAGAAGACAAGGCCCTGTGGTCTATTATCCCAATTTCCTGCCATTGTTCCCATCGCAGGCGATTTGAGTGTAAGCGTGTTGATGCCGCGCCACACAGACACAACACGCGCGCGCACACACAGACCACACACCATACACACACAACAATACACACACATCACACACACACACACTACGACACACACACACACAACCACACACACAACACACGCAACGATCACGCCACAGCACGCACACACACACACAGTGCACACAACACACACACACACACACACACACAACGTAACAACATACACACACACACATACATACAACACCAACACACACACACACACACACACACACACCACACCACACACCACACTCACAGCACACACCAGCACACATACACACACACACACGACACACACCACACACACACACACACACACACACACACACACACACACACACACACACACACAACACACACACGCCGCCGCGCGCGCGCATCATATATATATATAGTATATATTATCCAACATATAGTGTTCACGGTTCGTATTTTATTTATTCCGTGTTTAATATGAGTATCGTGAAACCTCTTGCTATCGCGACACATTGACGTGTATCATAAATGCACTGACCTAATGCGGTATCATTGCCCATTGCGACGCGCTCCGGTGGTCATATAAAACATATCAGTGTCAAACATCTTATAACCCCAGCGGCCCTGTATAAAGACATAAATCTGATTAAATAAAAATAATGATATATTACTATATATTATATATAATATCTATATATAGAGAGAGAGAGAGAGACGCAGAGGAGGAGATGAGAGAGAAGAGAGGAGCAGATGAAGTGAGAGAGAGAGAGGCAGAGAGCACGAGAGCAGAGAAGACATGAGAGCACGTAAGACTACTATAAAAAATACATTCGTCCCTCTAGGGTTTACTGGTGTATAAATAGGCGACCTGTTTTAACCTCTCACTCGCAGCGGTTTAACTGCTAGCGGACATTGGATCACGTGCCTTCATTACAGATCACGTGATAGACGACATTCCTGCTTCGTGCCGCGTCAGGATAATTAAACATACCATATAAATACTATTTAGTGCATCTCACATGATAAATCGTTCTGAAATTCATATGGACTAAACGCTCGCAGTACTATTTGAAACAATAGTGCCCGCACTGCAGCGGCACTATTGCCTTCTGCGCGACGCATTGTATTATGCAATCGACATGTGCTTTTATACAAATTGAAAATTTGTTCGTTTAAGAAACTTTGTCTATTGAGTTATTCACTTCAATATTGCCAGTAGATTGCAAAAGTGATGTGATCAACTAAAAACATTAATTGCCTGTGTTAAGGGCACATGAGAGCAATAGTGGCCCACACAACAGGCATTAATATTATAATATGTGGCATGACCGATGCATGCAATCGCTGCAATCTATTGGATACGCAGCAGGCATTATGAAAGACTAGTGCCCGCCTTAGCGGGCATAATCGCTTGCGCGACGATTGTTTGATACGCATTTGTTTTAATCACGAATCTTCTGCGTCGGGGCCGCCACGCAAGATTTGGTATTAATGGGCGTGTGTTTTGTGTCGAGCGTCTTTGTTACATCGAACTGCAACCGGCCAAATTAGGGAGTATAAGAAGCCGTATATACGCATGAAAAGTAGATTGCCATAGTCATGTGATGCACTAGAAAACTTAATGCTGCTTTTGGGCCTTGCTCTTCATAGGGTTGCTTTAGGGAAGGAATAGTGCCTCGCTTAGCCCTCGGGCCAAATATTCCTATCCCTCAGCAACACTATGAGAGCATAGTGCCCCAACAGCAGGCTTAATATATAATTAGTCGATCACGTGATAAATCGTTGGAAATGTCTACATTGGATAACGTCGCTAGGCACTATGAAGCAATAGCTTGGCACGACGCATTTATTAAACGCGAATTGTGTTACGTCAAGAATCATCCTAGCGTCTGGGCGCACGCAAGAGTTTTCGAAATGTAATGGCGATTGTGTTTGTGGTCGAAGGTTTGGTTTAGCATGAATGCACCGGGCAAATTTAGGGAAGTATAAAGAAGGTATATAAGCATGAAAAGTAGATTGCATAGTCATGTGATGGCACTAAAAACCTTAATGCCTGTTGTGGGCACTATGCTGTCATAGTGTTGCTTTGCGGAAGGAATAGTGCCCTCGCTATCCGCTCGGGCACTATACTTCCCTCAGACAACACTCTATAGCGCATTCAGTGCCCCCAACAACAGGCATTAATATATAAATATTGTCGCATATTACGTTACGTTACGCATATTACGTTACATTACGCATATTACGTTACATTACGCATATTACGTTACATTACGCATATTACGTTACATTACGCATATTACGTTACATTACGCATATTACGATACATTACGCATATTACGTTACATTACGCATATTACGTTACATTACGCATATTACGTTACATTACGCATATTACGATACATTACGAATATTACGTTACGTTTCACAAGCATAATATATTAAATTGGATATAGTGGAATATTGACATAGACGATGTATCTTATTGTTATGTATTTATATATTTATATCGGCGCGTTCAGCATGGGATTAAAACGTTTCACTGCGGAGGTTCCTGATGAACTTAAAGTGATCTTCTTCATAATTTGATTGATCGCTTAACAGTAGCGTGTATGTTTTGATGGAAGTCATTATGATACGGTTAGGGGTTCTAGTAGGATGGTATAGCCACCGCCGTGGCTGAATCGAACAACGCTCGCAGAACAGAAAATCCTTAGGTCCCCGATAAAGAAATTAAATCACCCAACGATAAGATTGCCACACGTTTATGGTAAACGGTAGGAAATCATCGGCATATTGATAAAATGGTTCTTCATCATCGGCCATGTTGTACACGGAGAAGCCAGCTTCACCGGACACCGGACGAATGCGCGAGGCTTGCCCGCATGAAGGCAGCCGAAACATCCCGGACCGCACAACATCGTCACCGTCGTCGTCGCTGTCGCCACGCGGGTGTAAAGCATGCTAGATGACGCATTGACAGAGCGGCGGTATGTGGGAGCGTCCGCGCGATCACGCCCGGGGCGCCAGCCTGTGTGCGCTCTATGGCGAAGCGGGGGCCTAGTTTGCGAGACCGTCCCCTCTTATCCGCGGCTGCATGCACAGTGGGCAGAGATATCTTACGTGGGCGATGGGCAGCAGTCAACCGTTGCTTCGGGCGGAAGCTTAAGACCACTTTCTCTCCGCTGGGCGAGCGTACGTGCGTGTGCGTACACCTGCCCGCTCACGCAATAAAGGTGAGGCAAGCCACTTCAGGTAGATGCGCGGTGAGCTCACCCATCCCGCTGCAGCATGCATACGTCAAGAAGAAGTACCGAGCTCAGGTAAACGCAGGTGTGTTTCAGGTAAACTCAGGTGTGTTTCTGCTAAGCTCAGGTGTGTTTCAGGTAAACTCAGGTGTGTTTCGGCTAAGCTCAGGTGTGTTTCAGGTAAACTCATGTGTGTTTCGGCTAAGCTCAGTTCTCTCTCTCTCTCTCTCTCTCTCTCTCTCTCTCTCTCTCTCTCTCTCTCTCTCTCTCTCTCTCTCTCTCTCTCTCTCTCTGATTCTCTCTTACACGCCCTCTCTCCTCTTCTCTCTCTGCATCTCCCTCTCTCCTCCTCCCCCCCCCTCTCTCTCTCTCTCTCTGAATCTCCCTCTCTCCCTCTACCTCTCTATCGCGAACATTTAGAGCTAGAGCTACTCTCGACCTTCGCCCTGACCGACGCAGACGCGTGACGTCACTTCCGCCTGACGTCACTAACGCGCAGTCCGCAAGATCGACGACGACTTCCGCTTTAGAACGGACACTGACCAACATCGATGACGATGCGGTGCTCGTGAACAAAGTCGGAGTTCTTGAGGTGCAGACGAATACGCACGTGCACGTGTATCGTCTGCGGGCCCTCGAAGGCTCGCATGACCTCAACGTTTCCGGCGAACGTCCCCGTCAGTACAACCCGGAAGTCGCCGTGCTGCGGCGGCGGCATCCCCGCGCACGGCTCGCAGTGCACCGTGGTGATGTTTAGTTCTGTCGGTGCCGACAGGCGGTCCGCTGCGACGTCGCCACCGAACGTGTAAAAAGTGCGCGGGAGACCTGCCGTCGGCTCGGACGCGAAGAAAGCGAGGCGAGCGACGCTGTAAGAGTTGAGGCAGAAACGTCGGCGCGCGTTGCACGGCAGTCGGTTGCCGCAGCGCAGCAGCTCCCCCTGCTGGGGCCGCAGGACGAAGTCGTCGTCGCAGGTGGCGCCCTCGCACGAGAAGCCTCCGAACTTGTTGAAGCAGATGTCTTCGCTCTCGCACGGTGACGTCACACACTCGTTGATGTCGTCGCAGATGCGACGGTCGGCATCGAATACGTAGCCGATAGGACAGACGCACGACAGTTCACCGGCCGCCGACGTGCACCTCCGCTCGCATCTGTCGACAGCCGGCGTCGTCGGCGGTGGACTGATCACAGCACGGACCGTCGGTTCTATCTCGTGATCATCCCGTTCCCCGCCGCCATCTTGGTTCGTTTCCGTCGCCGCCATTTGCATTTCGAGAGAGGCGACGCGACGCGTGAGCGTCTGCTCTCGACTGCTGCATTGTGACGTCAGCTGTTCGTTTTCTGCCTTCAGCGCGCGGTTTTCGTCCGTCAGAGTCTTGACAATTCCCGCAATCAGCTTGCCATTAACAGGACAGTTCGTCTGCGAGACCTTCAAGTCGATCCTGCAGGAGTTAGAGTCGACGGCGGCTGCTGCGCGTAGCCATAGTAATAGGCATAACAATGCGTAGTGACGCCGCTGAAGGACACGCACGGCGGCCATGTTGGATGTCAGACACTGGCGCGTAGTAGGCATCTGTCTGTAAACACACACATACCGCTGTCGATGCGCAGCGTCCGTCCACTACTCCCTACGTTCACACACACATACACGCACGCGCGCACGTTCTCCCGTGATTACACGTCGTTGTCGTTCACCATGTTTCTCCTGCTACGTTCGCCGCCGCTGCTGCTGCCGCTGCTGCTGCTGTTGCTGTTGCTGTTGCTGCTGGTGGTGGTGGTGTCACATCCAGGACTGTAGATAGCGCAGTGTCCCGCGCTACCACGCACCGTTGTTGCTAACTAGATTGGGTCCAAGCTATTGCGCTCGCCGTTGCTCGGCTAAGCGTTGTCGTCTAGGCGTTCGCTGCTGATAGTCACCGCGGCTGCTGCTGTTGTTGTTTCTGCTGCTGCTGTTGTTGGTGCTGCAGGTGCTACTGCTGCCGCTGATTCTGCTGGTGCTGCTGCTGCCGTTGTATCTGCAGCAGCTGCTGCTACTGTTGCTGTCGCTGTATCTGCTGCTGTTGCTGTTGCTGTTGTAACTGCCACCGCCGCCGCTGCTGCTGTTGTTGTCGCTGCTGTTGTTGCTGTTGCTATTGCTGTTCTTACGTTCGCCGCACTGTTGTCGCCATAACACTACCGCGCGATGCTCCGTCTACGATCCTCAGTTATGTTTACGTTTATGTTTGTGTTTATGTTTATGATTATATTTATGTTTGTGTTTGTGTTTATGTATATGTTTATGATTATGTTATCAGTGTTATCCTGGCTGTTTATGCTGTTGCTGCTCACACAGACACTGTGCGGTTGCCGTGTTCCGCTGCTGCTATGCTGCAGCCGTAGTCATTATATGTACTGACGTTGTTAACGTCCGCTGTCAGCCATTTCAAGATACCTGGAATTTTACGGCCAATTACTCGTCAAGCCGCTGATGGTCAGGTAAACGCAGTCAGGACCAGTGCTATTGTCCGGTACGGCCGGGAGAGATCGCGTCTGAGGTTGCAGAGAGATCGGCTGCGGATGCCCGTCGTGAGACGTGTACAGTAAACGTCTTAAATCCGCGCTCGCTTGCGTTCTCTCTCTCTCTCTCTCTCTCTCTCTCTTTCTCTCTCTCTCTCTTTCTCTATTTTTTTTTCTCTCTCTCTCTTCCTCTCCCTCGCTCTCTTTCTCTCTCTGCGCACTCGTGACAGCGCAAGACGGAATGTACGCGCGTGCCGGAGTGGTTAGAGCTAGAACTATTATACGGCGCACAAAAGGATAACATCATCAACAACATCAACATCATCAACATCATCAACATCATCAACATCATCAACAACAACATCATCAACATCGTCAACATCATCAAACATCGGCAACATCGTTAACAACATCATTAATATCGTCAACAACACCATCAACATCGTCAACATCATCAACAGCATCAACATCATCAACAACATCATCAACATCATTACCACACGCAATAATTGCTCTGTAAGAACCCGATCACGTAAACAGCTACGGAGACTCCACCTCCTCTTCGCGGTCCTCTAGTCCGTTGACTTCACTCGCTCGCCGTCAAACTTGGCAAATTACTTGCCCCGCGAAACGCTACAAAATCGGGCTTGTTGAGTGAAACCCACGGGGCTTCGTCTATTACTTTTCTTATTAGTCAAACCTCTTCACCTCGTTAACCCCCTCCACTGTCGCAGCACCGCAGCCGGTCGCGCATGCGCGAAGCGATGACGTGACGCACACCGACTGGCGGTGATTAGGTGGTTGGATCCCTATATATATTTGAATGCGGTTTGAGGTGCAGTGTGTAGCAACGTTATCACCTACAGAGTAGTTCTACGCTAGAACTGTGAGGGTGAAGCATCGGCCACCGGTATCTACCTTGAATCAGCCTCAAGCCAGAGGACGCGACATACAGGGTACGTCACAGCTGTACGGTATTTCCATGAGCAACGATGGTGAACGGGATCCGAAATCCGAATATCCGTTTTATCACGTTACTCGTGGTGTTATTGTTAAGTTAATAGCATGAAGCGAGAATTATTCGTTATCTTTCGATTTGAGCTATTTAGATTTATACGATGTTGCGTCGCCTGCTGTTGTTTGCCGCGTGCTTCCTTTGTTTACCTACTTGTTTACCTATTTGTTTACCCATTTGTTTGCAAATTTGTTAACCTATTTGTGCTTACTTAATCGTGCTTACTTATTCATGAGTTAATGGTTCTTGGGCGGTGACAGACGCGCTATGAAACTATGCGCATGTTGGGTGGACAGATAATGTTCTCTCTCTCTCTCTCTCTATCTCTCTCTCTCTCACTCTCTCTCTCTCTCTCTCTCTCTCTCTCTTCTCTCTCCCTAGAGAGAGCGAGTGAGAGTAAAAGAGAGAGCGAGAGAGCGAAAGAGAGAGCGAGTGAGAGTAAAAGAGAGCGAGAGAGAGAGGGGGAGCGAGAGCGCGAAAGAAAGAGAGGGGTGAGAGTAAAAGAGAGCGAGAGAGAGGGGGAGCGAGAGAGCGAAAGAGAGAGCGAGTGAGAGTGAAGGAGCAAGCGAGTGAGAGTAAAAGGGAGAGCGAGAGAGCAAAAGAGAGAGCGAGTGAGAGTAAAAGAGAGAGGGAGTGACAGTGAAAGAGAGCGAGAGAGAGGGGGAGCGAGAGCGCGAAAGAGAGCGAGAGGGAGTGAGAGTAACAGAGAGGGAGTGAGAGTGAAAGAGCGATAGAGCAAAAGAGAAAGGGAGTGAGAGCAAGAGAGAGAGAGAGAGAGAGAGAGAGAAGCTGGAAGGGAGGGAGGGAGGGAGGGAGTGAGAAAGAGAATGATAAACAACACAGAGAGAGACTGGTATTGATGATGACGTGCAGGCCATACCTATTTGCCCGAGTATCAAGGGTTATATGAAGGTACGCGGCTGCTGCGGTATGCCAATCACGTATGATTTCTGGCATCTAGAGAAGACCGACTGGCATGTATAGCCTGACATGTATAGACTGACATGTATAGACTGAGAGGCGGAACTACTTGTTGGTAGACAGTGAGTGTATCGGTATATAACATGAACCTGCCACTAGTGCTCATAACTTTCCCCCCAAATGGTGACATTAATCATTCTCTCTTCATTCCTTCTTTTCATCCTTCGCTATAATCGCAATCGGCTGCATTAAAAAAAAATTCTATTTACTTGCCACCCCCTTAGTTCTTCACACTCAAATGTTGCCCACGCTCGATTAACGATGACATAAGGCTTAGTTAAAATGCGCATTGATTTATAGTACGAGGACTTGACAGTGTTGCTGCCTCTTGTTTTCAGTGCCATGGCTACGACCAGCGGCAACAGACGACGCTTTCCCGGGGAGCGGCGGAACGACAGAGCGCCGCAGTTGAATTCGAAGACGTACCCACCGCTAGAGCTCATGCACGGAGCAGGTTGTATCTCCCAGGAGAAGGTTGTATCGGAGAATCCGCAGCAGCAGGAGAACGGGTTTCCGGGGAAAGCCCAGAATGACGTGGAAAAGAAGACATCACGAGAGAAGGCCGAAAGAAAGACACCCGGGAAAAATATTACACTGGGAGCACCGCAGGGAAATTACGAAACAAACCAAAAGACTGTTATGAGAGATGGAGCGCCTGGAGAGAAGGCACAAAATGAGAGACTACAGGAGGCGAACCCCATCAGGGAGACTCCGCGGAGGTTCGGGAGAGAAGCACCCCGCTGGCGGGGCGTAGAGGAGGAGCTGAGCTCTGTGAGAGAGGAGCTGAGTGAGACGGTGGAGGATTCGGCGCAGGCTGCACACTGCGGGCTGCAGCTGCTGAGAGAGCGACAGGCGCTAGAGGCGAGGTTGCTCGCGCTGACACAGCGCTACGATGGCAGCCAGCAGCGACTACACTCTGCTGTCTGGCATCTTCCGCGCTGAGTAAGCGTCGCTCATTTGCGCGCTGATGCAGAAGATAATGTGAGACCGTGACGCAATGAATGCATTTCCGCTGGCGGAGGTCGAATATTGATAAGTGATTGCGTATTTATCTAACAACCGAATATAGAGAAGGTTACGTCTTCCATCCTTCCTGCCTCTCTCACTCCCCCCCCTCTCTCTCTCTCTCTCTCTCTTTCGCTCTGTCTTTCTCTCTCTGTGTTTCTCTCTCTCGCTCTCTCACTCTCTCTCTCGCGCGGTTTGACCTATCACTCTCTCTCACACACACACACACACACACACACACACACACACACACACACACACACACACACACACACACACACACACGCACACTCTTTGTTTCTCTCTCGCTGCACTCCCTTCTCTCTCGCTCCCTCTCTTTCTTCTTCTCTCCCCCCGTTCTCTCTCGCTGGCTCCTCCCCCTCGCTCCTCATATCTCTCCACGAGGTGGTACTATAGCAGGATTTGATCTAATATGGCTACTAAAGCGATGTGTTGTGTAAAACGATGAGCGGATATATAATGCAATAGCGAGGACTACTGTAGCGGCAAAAAGGCTGTCAGTTACGCTCTTTCGTGTAGCCGACTTCCTTTACCGACGGTGACAAAACCATTCTGTTGCTACTATGAAAACCATTCTACAATGCGCGAAAAGTACAAAGCTATTTGTTTTGTTTGGTGTTTTATAGAGGGGGAGGTTGTTATACAGTGTGTCAAATGCGATATGTTCTATGGTTTGCGAAAAGTTACTGAAAAGTGTAAGGAGAAAATTCTATTCTTTGGTGTAAGAAATGTTGTTATACCGTGTGTGAAAATCTATACACTTATCGGGAATAGCTGTTTGATAGGGTGGGGAACGAGCATACAACGATGTGAAAAAAAAGTATTTAAGAAGAGTATTACAGCTATGACGGTGATAATAAGTGAGAGTGATAAAATATAAACATAAATGAAAGTGAAGGTAATGAAAGTTAAATATAATTAAAAGTTAATATCATGAATGTTGTACGTGATTAAAGATGAAGATAATGAAAGGTTTGCATAATTAAAGGTGAAGATAATAATAGGTAAAGATATAAAGTGGCGAAGGTAGCAGACGCTAAAGTAATAAAATGCGACGGAAAGGCCGCTATATGTAGGGATTGACGCAACAGGTTCAAGCTCTGCTGCGAGGTCACGGATAAGCAAGCATGACTCACATCATCACGTACGTATCACTAACAATAACTCACATCCACGCGATTTGCTCGACCGAAATTAATGAGATTTCATTAAAACCACATCACACACCCAGGCGCATTGATGCGAGCGACGAGCGGACTATATTGTGTCGCGACAGTAGCAGGCGTAGAGCTGGTCACGTGTCGCTGTGATCGGCACAGTGAAATCTCGCCGATCAATATTTAAATCTGCACTGGAACGAGTTACGGACGAATTTCATCAGCTACTGCCATTGCTCGCGACAGGTAGATGAAATAACGTACGTGTAACTTAATCAGCAGGCGATGCGTGCGCACAGGCGATCAGAGGAAAGCGAATGACACGAATTCGCTGTTCGCTACGCTCCCTAGCGGCACTGCCTACAATAGCAGTGCGCGCGCGCGCGCGTGCGTGCGTGCGTGTGTGTGTGTGTGTGTGTGTGTGTGTGTGTGTGTGTGTTGTGTGTGTGTGTGTGGTGATCGTTATGGTGTGTCGGTGTTTTGGTGTGTGGCGTGTGGTGTGGCGTGCGTGCCGTGCTGTGCCAGATGCGTGCGTCGTAGCGTGCGTGGCGATGCTGCTGCAGCAGTGCGTGCGTGCGTGCGTCGCGGGCGTGCGTGGGGGGGTGTGGTGTGTTGGTATGTGTGTTGTGTGTGTGTGTGTTGTGTGTTGTGTGTGTGTGTGTGTGTGATGTGGTGTGTACGCATTATATGTCGAATGACATATGATTAGCCGTTGTTGCTTAGAATAACTATAGGATTAGGACGTCGTGTTATAGTTTGGAAGACGGCAATATGGTGATGTCTTACATCCAGAGTTCTTCGTCGCTATCTATACTTATCTCTATCTTCTTTCTCTCACCCCTTCAATCTCTCTTAACTCTCTCTCCCATTCTCTCTGGCTTCTCTCTTGCGCTCTCCCGTCTATCTCTGCTTCTCTCTCTCTAATCAAATGCTCAATCTTTGATTTGTGACTGAATTTCACTATCAAGGCTTATCGGTTATTCAAGCGACCTATATCGGATTCCGAGAAGGTAGCTGAGCGCGCGGCATGGCTGGCGTTACGTTACAACGCGATAACATAGCGAAAAAAAAAACGCGTGAAACGCACTCACTTTAATACCATTGACTATTCTAGTTAGCGGCGCGTGATGCTGAGAGCGTGACTCTTTCACATCCGGGGAAAAGCGTATACCTTCCAATTCATAAAGATCGATGCTGATATCTCCCCGAATAATCGTTGTATAATAATATTATATATATATATATATATTTATGTATAATATATATATCTGCCTTACGTAGTCTGTATTTCATATGTGAATGGGATGGATGCATGTAGTTATAGTAACGGTAGTATGCTAATTATGCAGAAAATTACTGAAGATCGGAGATCTATCTATATTAATGTAGACGCCGCTATGATGCTACTTTCCAATCTTCAGCTTTCTTCCGAACCCCGCTCGCACAGAAGCCTACGCTCTCCTAACAATACAGTGCATCTTCCTCTGCTTGCTTACCAGGCTTGCTTTGTATATTCTGTCGAATATATTGTAGCCACTCAAACTTCTCATCGGAATTCAGACCGCCAAATGTTGGCTTGTGTTGACTTCACATGACGAGTAACAGTGCGGGCATGGCTATATACGATTGATTTAATTATGTTTGGGTTTATGAACGGATCGTATCGTCGCGATGGCAATTGCTCACTGTAGATTTAGCGATTCGATCTGGCAATTGGTCTCAGAGAGAGAGAGAGAGAGATGAGAGAGAGAGAGAGAGAGAGAGAGAGAGACAGAGAGAGAGAGACAGGGAGAAGGAGAGGAGAAGGAGAGAGATGGAGAGAGTTGGAGACAGGGAGAGGAGAGATTTGTAAGCCGAGAAAGCAATACCACAGGACTATTAGTTTACCCTCTATATGTCCTACTACGTACTCTACTATATGTAATATATAATATAATACATATATATATATAATTAGATATAAATAAAGTCAGTGTATAGATAAGTGGTGTTTAAAGTTTAATTGACGAGCTTTCGAATTAATCTCTTCACCGCGGTCAGCAGACATTGGAATAGAATCAAATAATCAAAAACAAATTACAAAGTGTTATAGATAATCAATAGAAGCGTAATGGTTGGATTCAACGCAATGGACACCACATTTGGATGACGTGCCGTGTGTGTGGCTGCCAACTGACTACCTATTACAATAGCTCACGTCGACACATAACGGAGCAGAAATTAATTCTGAGGGTTGGTGTGTTTGAATCCAGGGGGCATGAACCGATAAGACTTTAAATTACGTGTGATTTTTGAGTCCATTGCTTCGTGGCGTGTGTGCGTGTGAATGTGTGTGTGTGTGTGTGTGTGGTGTGTGTGTGTGTGTGTGTGTGTGTGTTGGTGTGTGTGTGTGTGTGTGTGTGTGTTTAATGTATTGTGTGTGTGTCGTGCGTGCGTGTGTGTGTGTGTAATGTGTGTTGTGTGTGTGTGTGCGTGTGTGTGTGTGATGTGTGTTTGTGTGGGTGTGTGTTGTGTGTGGTGTGTTGTGATGTGTGTTGTTTTTGTGGCGTACAATATATTATATACATGTCGTGTTCTTTTTTGTCCGTATTATTTGGCAACGCGCGAATTGTCGTGAATACATTCATTTTTGATTACTTATAACGCTTTGTATTTGTTTTGATTATGGATTCTATTCTATGTCTGCTGACGGCTGAATGAGAGATGTAAATCTCTAAAGCTCGTCATTAAACTTTTAAACACGCCTTAATTCTATACCTTGACTTTTGTTTTTATCTTACTACGGGTTTCGTGTGTGACTTTCCTTATATATATATATATATCATTATATATATTCTATCATAATAACTATATAATAACCAATTAAATATATAACTTTAAAATGGATCCTGCGAATGGTTCAAGCGTTAATTCAGCTCGTTTAGATTCATCCAGCAAGGATGAGAAGTCTGGAAAATTTGTGAAAACTTCTAAAATCTTATATTCTGCAGGCGACCACTCGGCACGAAAGGTAGATTGTATTTTCATTTGGAGTTTGCGTTCTACGCTGCGTTCTTATATCCATTAAATTGTATATTCTTCGAGTTCCTCTAGGCGCGCAGTCTATTCCGCGAAATCTAGCACATCCGTCCTCCTAGCCGCGGGTCTCTCGATAATCGATAGTAATTATTATTGGAGGCGGCAAACGCCAATTGACGTTACGCCTCTTTCCAGGTATCCTCGCTGAGCTGGGCGTGTCGTGTGCGTGCTCTGTTCGTGTGGCGTGTGGTGCTGCGTGTGTCGTGTGCGTGGGGCCGTATATGCGCGTGCGTGTACTTACGGGTGCGTGTGCACACACACTAATCACACACGATCACACACACACGCAGTCACCAGCACACACACCACGCAGCACGCCCGCACGGCTACGCCCGTCAATACCATAACACATGCAGCCGCAAGACATTGCATAACG